ATTGGAATTCCTGAATGGATATATTCTCATATTTCATCATTTCACGGAAGTTCTCCTCCAGCAAATCTTGGACAATTTTCTCAGTGGTTTTGTTTTTTTCTTCCTGTTCTGGAATTCCAATGACACATAAGTTATTCCTTTTGATGGTGTCCCACATGGACCTTAGGCTTTCTTCATTTTGTTTTAATTTTTTTCTGATTGATCCTTTTCCAAAGAAGTATTCAGGTATTTGTCTTCCATCTCATTAATTCTGTCTTCAATCGCATCAGTTCTTCTCCTTTGCCCTTCCAACGTGTTATCTGTTTCTGACAATTTAATATTAATCTTTTGGATTTCTACCTGTAGATTTAGAATCATGTCTAATTTTTCATTTGTTTTGTCATTTTGTTCTCGTATTTTCTTCCAAAATTCTTCTAAGGTTTTTTCTGTGTTTTCTTTGGTCTGTCTCTCAATCCTTTGAAGATACCTAAAGATGATTCTTTTGAATTTCTTGGCAGAGAGTTCCAATGCTGCTTCTTCCTCATGGATGTGTTCTGGGTCTGTATCCTGCTCCCTTGTTTCTACCCCTTTATCCTTCTTCTTTGTGTGGACTGTGATGGTCTGTTGTTTTCGAGGCATCGTTGCGTTGTTGTATTCAGGTCTCTGTTAACCGTTTGTGAAGAGCAGCCAATGGTGATTCAGGTTCTTCTTGGTGGTTTTTTATCGTTGTCCCATTGGTGGAGAAGGAGTAGTGGCTCTTGCTCAGTAAGTACAGTTGCAGAAGGTGTGGGTGTAGTTTTGTCTTATGGGGACTGTTGTTGTCTCCCACTCAGTTAGACACAAATTGCAATTTAATAACCATCAAAAAACTAAAAGCCCATTGACGAAAAACACACCTTTTCAGTCTTGCTGGTCCCAAGCGTCCTTGGTGTTCCTGGAAAGCAGAACATGTTTCTAAGCCCCAGGAATCTGCGAGAGCACTGTCTCTTTAAATATCCAAAATAGTCAAGCCCCTTTTTAAACCTTCAAAATGGCGGCACCCTCCAGACTGGCAAACGTCCACAGTTCAGCCCACCTTTCTCTTCACCTTCTCGATTTGTTCCCCAGCCACCGTGCACAGTCCTCCGTGCAGTTCCTGGGTAGCAGGGTGATTTTTAGTTTAATTCTTAGGTCCTACCACCACTTAAGGAGCTCTTGTAGCATAGTGGCTAAGACACTTGCCTGCTAACCAGAAGGCTGGCTGTTCAAACCCACCAGCCACTCCTCGGAAGGAAGGTTGGGCAATCCTACTTCCATAATGATACTGCCTCAGAAACCCAAGGAGGGGTCGCTATGAGTCAGGGCCAACTCGACGGCACATAACAACAACAACAACAACAACCACTCAGGAATCTCCAAGCTGTCTGTGCTGTCAGGATCACTCAGGATCGCTGTCAGACCACAGCTCCATATGTCTCCTTTTTTGGTATTTTCATGCAAATTCTTCTGCTAGTTGGGGTTTTGTCCACTTCTATATCCTTCCCTTCAAGGCTCAGGGGTCCAAGATTATCTTCTGTGTCTGTGCTAATTGGTTTCCCTTTTCTTTGTTGGAGAGGGTCTGTGCAGTCTTTCTGTCTAGTCCGCCATGTTTCTGGAACTTCCAAGATTATTTCATTTAATTATTACTTTATTAATATCTTTCTTTTCCCCTGGACCCCAGGAGTTGGAACCAGGTCTGGCTTGTATATTCTGCCTAGCACATAGCCTGTCTTGTAGCTGATACACAACAAATATTAGATGAATCCTGCTTGCAAGTTTTTAAGATCCCAGTCACTAATCACCAAAGTAGGAGGTGGAACAATATATGTTATGCCAGTTTAGCTTGATGTCCCCCAAAGCTGTAATCTTTATAGAAGCAGATTGCCACATCTTTCTCCTATGAAGCATGTGGTGGTTTTGGACCACTGACCTTTTGATTAGCAGCCAACCACTTAACTACTGAAACATCAGGGCTCCTCTGAAAATGTTAATGCTAAGGATATTAGACACTTTATTAAACGTCCTAAAATATATATCTGCTTATTTCATTCCTGCAAATATATAATATAGTGATACTAGACTACATTTCCACTTATCTCTTTGTATGAGAGACAATGATTTGCTTAAGATTGAATTAAATTATGAGCTTCCAGAAAAGATGGAGTAATAGCCTGGATTGGCCACTAGATGACCATATTTGACTAAAACAACTTTATTTTTCGCTAAAGGAAGACTTTGAGGAAGTAGTAGCCTCATAAATAATGAAGGTTCATGGAAGGGAAAATAAAGAGTCAGTCGACACTGATTCACTTGTATATTTATGAATTACGGGTTTATTTTTTAGAAAATACCTATGAAATATATTAAATGTTATTTTTTTATATAAAAATTAATTTGAAAAAGATCTCAAATTTTAACTATACTAGGTTTGTCAACCTCTGCTCTGTTGACATTTTGGGCCAGGTAATTCTTTGTTGTAGAAAAGGTACGGAGTTGCTGTCTTCTGCATTGTGGGACATTTATCAGCATCCAGGGACTCTACCCACTAGATGCCAAGTAGCACCCATCCCCAACTGTAAAGTTTTGATAAACAGAAATGTCTTCAGACATTACCAAATGTCCTTTAGAGGACAAAATGACCCTAGCTGAGAACAACTGAACCAACCAACAATATTTAAAATGCAAGCAACCCTATTTTATATTTTAAATATATAAAAGGTCAATCCAAGTTCTACCTTCAACTTTTAGTACTTTCTCAGTTAATGTAGGAATGAGTTCTCACTAGGTATACTTATAACAAATTGATCTTAGAAGAGTAACTCAAACTCACTCCTTTGAGTCGATTTAGATTCATAGCAACCCCTCCTTGGGTTTCCGAGGCAGTATCTGTATGGAAGTAGATTGCCCAGTCTTCCTCCTGAGGAGTGGCTGGTGGATTTGAACCACCAGCCTTCTGGTTAGCAGTCAAATGCCTTAGGCACTATACCACCAGAGCTCCCAAAGGTTGACATAAATTAAATATAAGAACTCCAGAGGAACAGGAGGATCCTTTTTCCTTCTGTGAGAGTTCCACATCTCACGAAGGGAAAGAAAATTTCCTTATAGGAACAAGAGTTATGAACAATACCTTGGATTACTTTTTAACACATCATTAAGATGAATCTACCTTGGGATTTTTTCCACCTAGATCCAATTTCTCCAAGAAGCAATTGGACTTCTGGAAAAATTCATAAGAAATTTAAGATGCCTCAGGCATAATTCTCAAGAGAAACAACTTCTAAACCAGAGATAACTCATCATCTCCCAGTTATCCTCCATCACCATGACCCACATTCGTACACCTTTGTTTTAGTAAAGCTCAAAGGAAAAAAGAACATTACTAATGAGAAGTCTTCTACTTACAGCCCAGGCAAATGTACTTTCCTACATAGACTCAAAGAAAATATTTCATCTGGACATTTCTTTGGAATTCTGTTAATTCTATCAAGATGAGAAACAGTATCATTTTATCTTCACAGGTGACACAGAATGATATGATAATGGCTGAAAGGCTCTTTGGAATCCTAGCACACGTGGCATCTTCTGAGTTACCCCAGTACCGTATAATTTCAATTCTGGGTGATGCCAGGTAACCTTTAATTTCTGAAGTTTTTATAGAAATACTGTCACACTAGAAAAAGAAATAAAATCCATGCACTTCTTAACTGTGCCATTAATTCATTCCAAAAGCATTTATCCAAGCTTTATTTTGTGGCTGGCATTATTCAAAGTGTTTATTTTCAGATTCAGGGCAATATACATTCTACTCACTGTTGGTGGAAGTATAACTTGATGAAAACTTATATGGGGGGTATTTTGGCACTATCTATCAAAATTTAAAGCATGTATATTTTTGAACCCAGAAGTTCTATTGCAGGAATATATCCTATTGGTGTACTTACATTACATATGTGCACAAAAGATTCTTATACAGGGTTGCCATTGCTTTCTTGTAATGCAGTAACGCAAAGTTGGAATGTAACTAAATGCCTGTTAATAAGGAAAGTTAAAGAAATCATGATAGTTCTATGTTGTGAATGTAATAATTTATATGATACTATCTCCATTAAAGTCATTATATGACTATTAAAAAAAAAAAAAAAAAAAAAGATTGAGGTAGGTCTTCTCTTCTGACATGAAATGATCCAGAGACAAGTTGTTACTTGAATAAAATAAGACTCGACAAAATATTTATACTATGACCCCATGTGATTATAAAAAGTAACCAAATAAATATGTACACATGTAAATCAGAAGCATAAAAGAGAGTTGAAAGTATACATACCTGGAAGGGTATGGAATGTTAGAAGTGGCAGTGGAGATAGTTGAATGGTTTTCAGATTTTCTCTGTATGTTTCTGTACCTTTTGAAACTTCTTGATGAGAATGTAAGACTTCTGTTTCTGAAAATGCTGGGTGAGGGTATTTTGATCATGTCTTGTGTCTAAAAGGAACCCTGGTGGTGCAGTGGTTAAGCACTTGGCTGCTATATACTGAAAGGTTGAAGATTTGAACCCACCAGCTACTCTGCAGGAGAAAGATGTGGTAGTCTGCTTCCATAAAGATTTACAACCTCAGAAACTCTGCCAATTCTACTCTGTCCTTTAGAGTTGCTGTGAGTCGGAATTGACTGGATGGCAGCAGGTTTGGCTGATTTTGGTTGTGTCTAAAAATGCTAGGTAGCATAAAAAGATCTCCATAAAACTAGTGAAGAGCTGACAAGACACAATATAAATACTAGGCCAACATCTGTGTTAAAAGAGAGAATCTTGAGAAGTAAGGTGAGCACAGAGGCTGTTAGCCCAAAAATTAAATTTTTGTTTTGGTAGCCTCAAGCAGTTGGGGATAGAAATTAAAGCCAAAGCTCACCTAAAATGGTAAATATAAATAGATCTTCTAAAGATGAAACTCAACCTCAAGGGCTATACCATCAGGGTATGTCAGAAGTAAACCTACCCCTTCTCCCTATTCTCAGGATTTTCCAAGGAAATTTGCCTTGATGAACAGAAGAAGGGGAAAGTTGTCCATAATAAGTTGTAACCAAAAGTCAGTACTTACATAGATTTTCAGCCTGAATTCAAAATACCCAGTAGTTCAAAATCACATCAAGGTTTAAACATCAGTATCTCTTGGTACTTGGGAAATAAATATACCTCGTCTCTGGTGGAAGTTAATTTTGTCCTACCTCAAAGAAGTCCCATGGGATCTCTGTAGGAGGTCCTGGATAAAGTGGGAGAACAGTGGAACAAAACTCAAAATCATTAAAAAAATAAAAGACCAGTTTTGCTGGTCTAATAGAACCTGATGGAACCACTGAGACTATGGCCCCTAGGTGCCCTTCAGGTATGGAGCTGAACCCACTCCCATGGCTTCCAGACAAACAAAAGATAGGAATATGAGCTGAATGTTTACATTAGGTAGATACACTCCTTGGAGAGATCAATCATGGAAGAATAGAAAGGTTGTTTATGCATAGGGAGATAGCTTGGGGGGCAGGAGTGCATGGGAGGGAAGGACACAGGGAAGAGGTAGCTATGGGGAGGAAGTGGGAGAAAATCTGTTGCATTGTAGGAAATTGTAGTCAATGTCATGAGACAAAGTGTATGTGAGCTGCTATATGGAAAATGAATTTGCTCTGTAAACTTTCATCCAAATCACAATAAAATTTAAGAAGAAGAAGAAGCCCCATGGATAATTTTTAAGGACAATGACTAGTATACAATGAAAAAAATAGCAAACACCCAAGGAAATAAGGCAATACTCTATAAGAATTATCAGGAGAAAAAAAAAAAAAAAACTAAGCAAACCCATGAATACTTTAGATATTGGCGCTATTACTCATAGATTATAAAATGACTGTCCTTAGTATATTTCACAGTATAAAAGACAAGCTTGACAATATCTGGAGAGAATGCGAAATTTAAAAAAGTAATCCAGCATATCTGAAAGAAGACCAAAGGAAAGTTCTATAGGTGAACAAATAAAAACTTAATGGAGAGATTTAAATGGTGTATTCCACAGTTGAAAAGAGAATCAGTAAGCTGGAAAATAGGGTAGAGGAAATTTTCCAGAACCCAGCACAAAGAAAGAAAAAGATGGAATGTGTGAAAAAATGATTTAAAATTTTGGAGGATAAAGTGATTGAGAATGTTTAACATATGTTTAACTGGAGTTTTGAAATTATACTAAAGGGAGGATGGGATGGAGACAATATTCTTAACAAATGGCAAAGAATTTTTCAGAACTGATGAATTGCACTAATTAATACTCTACATAAGCCCAACTAATCCCGAGTAGGGTATACTGATTGATGCAAATGTTTAAGGGTGAGACTACTAACTGAAAGGTTGGCAGTTTGAATCTATCTAGAGGTGCCTTGGAAGAAAGTCCTGGCAATCTACATCTGAAAGATCACAGCTGTTGAAAACCCTGTAGAGCACAATTCTACTCTGAGACACAAGGAATCACCATGAATTGGAATTTACTCAATGGCAATGGGTTACTGATTGGTAATTCCAAATAGGATAAATAAAATAAATCCTCACCTAGACATATCACAGTGAAACTACAGAATACCAAATATAAAGTTAAAAAAAATTTAAACAACCGGGAAAAAGAGGTTATCTTCAAAAAAGTAAAGATCAACAATTGATTTCATAACAACAATGAAAGAGAAGGTTGTGAATGGTATGTTCAACATACTGATAAAAATTGCCAACCTAGACTTCTATCTGTAAAATAAAAAAAGAATCTTTTATTTGTGAAGGTGAAATTAAGTCATTTTGAAAACAAACCATGAGAGGTTTCATTAGTATTCCTGTGCTAAAAGAAATTCTAAGAGCTGACAAGGGGCAAAGTTGTGGTGGCTTCTTTGCCACAGCCAGCTACCCAGAGGGAGCAAGTAGTTGGACCTATATGGGCTCAGGACCATGGTCACAGGAAACATCAAGCTCAGTTGGCATTAACATACTACACAAAAACATTGTTCCATATCCTACTTTGGTGAGTAATGACTGAGATCTTAAAAGCTTACAAGCGACCATCTAGATGCAATGATGGGTCTCTCCTCATCCAGAGCAAAGAACAAAGGAAACCAAAGACACATGGGAAACAATTAGTCCAAGGGACTGGTAGACCATGCAGTCCTCAGCCTCTATGACCATGAGACCAGAAGAACTCGATGGTGCCTGGCTACTACTGTCAAGCACTCAGAGGGAGATCTATGTAGGAGATCCTGGATAGAGTGGGAGAACAATGTGGAACAAAACTCAAAATCATAAAAAAGACCAGGTTTGCTGGTCTGATAGAACCTGGTGAGACCCGTGATACTATAGCCCCTAGCCACCCTTCAGGTCTGGCATTGAACTCACTCCTGTGGCTTCCAGCCAAACAGTAGACAAGCATATGGGGTGAACATTACATCAGGTAGATACAGTCCTTGGAGTGATCAGTGATGGGAGAACAGAAGGGTAGTGTTTATATAGAGAGACTACTGCTAGGGGGTTATGGAGGGAGTGTATGGGAAGGAAGGAAGAGATAACCATAGAGAAGTGGGAAGAGAGCTCTTACATTGTGGAGAATTGCCGTCAATGTCATGAGACAAAATGTGTATGAACTGCTGTATGGAAAATGAATTCGCTTGGTAAACTTTCACCCAAATGACAATACAAATTAAAATAAGATAAAAAGAAATTCTAAAACCCCTGTTTAAGGCAGAATGAAAGTGAGGCAGAATGAAATCTGAACCGCAAGAAAAACCAAAGAACAAAGAAAGTATCAAATATGTGTGATAAAGCTAAATGAACATTGATAGTATAAAGCAACAATAATAATATTTTATAGGGTTTAAAAATATATGTTGTTTTTGTTGTTATGTGCTGTTGAGTGGGCCGACTCATAGCGATCCCTCCTTGGGTTTCCGAGGCAGTATCACTATGGAAGTAGATTGCCCAATCTTCTTTCTGAGGAGTGGCTGATGGGTTTGAACCTCCAGCCTTATGATTAGTAGTCAAATGCCTTAGGCAGTGCACAAACTATGCTGAACTGAAATATATTGCAAATGTATCTTAGAACTTGTAATATCACATGATGAACATAATCAGTATCACTGAATTGTTCATGTGAAAATTGTCAAATTGGCAAATGTTTTCTTATATATATTTTTACCACAATTAAAATAAAAACTTGTGGGGTCAACTTATAGTGGTGCTAAAAGTAAACATGTTAGCCTTGAAATGGGTATTCATGATTGTGCCACTATCCAAAAGGAGAGCATTCCTATGAAAACTTTTGTAAACAAGAATTATAAAGGAGCAACTACCATTAATTTATATGGGAAACATTTTTGAACATTCCCAGACCCAAAAATAACCTACCAAATCATACCAAATAACACATAAAACCTAAAATAACACTAACATATAGTAAAAGCAAGAATGATATAAGTACACAGCCTATAAAAAGAAGAAAAAAATGTATGTCCAATGTAGTTCGCAGGGAAGGAGCTTGGTTTTCTGCTGGCACTGCTCAGAGTGCATGCTGGCTCTTTAAAGCCTTGCTGCAAAAGAAATGCTAACCACTAGTTTCGCTTTTCACCATTTTTCATAAGAGCAAAAATCCTCTTCGGATTTCTTTCAGTTAGCAAAAACAGGTACTACTGTAAGTCTTTCTTAAAACTGAAGTGCTGTACAGTGAACTTTTGAAAATGAGGGATACGTGTACTAGGAAAGAATAAACTGCAGATGAATGAACTAAACATTTATCTCAAAAAGTTAGAAAAAGAATAGCAAAGTAAATGTGAAGATGAAGGAAAGTAAGAAAAAAGTTAAAAACAGAATTAATGAAAGTTTATTAGAATTTCAAATGCTAATAAAAGTATTATAAAATGTGTATGCGCATTATTTTTATAATTTAAAAAAATGGATAAAGATCATAAATGCAAATAAAGATCTATATGTTACTCACTTTTTTTTACAAAAGTGAGAAAATTCTACTATATAAAATATCCCGTAAAAGGAATTGACTAGGTAATCTTTAATCTATAATCCAATTGAATTTTTTCATACTTTAAAATTACTAATTTTAATAACATAAAAATTATTATTGTATAATATTAAGAGAAAACATGCAAAATTGAATGTTTACTGTAATCTCAACTTTTTAGAAAAATTCACAAAAAAATACTAGATAGAAACATGTCAAATATGGACAATCTTATAGATTTATATAAATTTATGTTATTTTTATCTACTTTTTAATGCATTCCAAAATTTGTGAAATGATTATATTAAAGTTTTAAATCAGAAAAAAAAATAAAAAAAAAACCATAAATTCTTCTGCTTTTTATCTTCAGTTCACAGTTTACAGTGAAGTAGTTGTATCACTACACTTAGGAATACCCTAAATAGTGGAAACCAGAAGGTGATCTTCATAGAGGATGAGTTGCAGTCCTGTGGTATTCTGGGATTATGGGCCTGTGATACTATGAGCATTGTTCATGTCCTTCTGCATAATCATATGAGGTTTTCTGTTTTATCACTTACTCCTACAAGGATCTTGCTTTGATGTGCTAACAGAGACTTTTTGTTTAAGATTTGTTTTAGTTTTGCCTAAACTTAAGCCAATATCTCATTTCATTTTCTAGATAGGAGTAATACTATTGAGCTACATAATGAAATTATGAACTATTTGATGATTTGTAAGTGGTAACTATTGCTATGTTTCATGGAAAATAAAAACAGAAGTTGGCACCCTACATCTTTAACTGGGTTATTTTGTGCTCTGTGATTATTTAATTTTTGTATTGATTTTTTTAAGAAATAAACTTTTCCCACTTTGGAAATGCTTGAGGCATGTTTATATTGATGATTGGTAATTATGAAATAAAAGAATTGAGTTGAGTAATCTAATTAGTGGAAAGACTGAAGTACTGAACTGAGCTCAAATAAATAAACTCATAAAACAGGTGTTCATAAAAACATATACTCCCCTTGAAAGTCAACAAAAAATAGACATTTTAATAAGTTTAATAAGTAACTCTCTAAATCTTTTTACTTTCTTTCTATAGGAAGAAGCAATTTCGGTATCTTCTAGAAACTAAAGGGAAAAAAACAGGCGTTAACAGTGAAGAAAATAATGACAGTAAAAAATTTGTAGTAGAAAACACAAATCGTGCTACACTGAATTATACCACAAGAGAATTTTATAATGAAAAGCTGGAGGTAAAACTAGCACTAATCTTTGTATATATCATCCTTTGTCATTTAAGATAACTATTTTTGTTCTGGAATGTTAATCAGTATTATGTACAAAGATGGAGGGATAGTAGGCAACAAGGGATTACGAAGAAATGGAGCCTCAAAATAAGCACTCATAGTTCCATTGTCTTTGTTTCAGTAGAAAAATTGTTCAAAACACATCTATACCAGAAGGCCAAACCAAAGTAGGACCAAAGATCCTGATTTAACTGAATTAAGAAAAAGGGTATAAATGGTGATAGTTCAGTGAACTGGATATGTAAAAGTTGTAGAAATGGCAAAAAAACATATTTCTGGTATTCTCTGCTTTCAGCCAAGATTCATGTCACATTATCAATGAGGTTTCTTTGTTTGTTTGTTTGTTTTTTGGTACCATGTCCTCTTCTGAATCCAGCTTGAATTTCTGGCAGTTCCTTGTTGATGTACTGCTACAACTGTTTTTGAACTATCTTCAGCAAAATTTTATTTGCTTGTGATATTAATGATATTGTTCAATAATTTCCACATTCTGTTGGATCACCTCTCTGTGGAATGGGCACAAATATGGATCTTTTCCAGTCAGTTGGTCAGGTGGCTGTCTTCCAGATTTCTTGGAATATATGAGTAAGTTCTCTGGCATTGCATCACTTGTTGAAAATCTCAATTGGTATTCCATCAATTTCTGAAACCTTATTTTTTGCCAGTACCTTCAGTGCAGCTTGGACTTCTCCCTTCAGTTCATTGGTTCTTGATCATATGCTATCTCCTAAAATGGTTGAACATCAACCAGTTCTTTTTTGTACAGTTACTGTGTATTCCTTCCATCTTCTATTGATGCTTACTGCGTCATTCAATATTTTGTCCATGTTATTGTTGTTGTTATGTGCCGTTGAGTTGGCCCCAACTCATAGCAACCCCTCCTTGGGTTTCCAAGGCAGTATCACTATGGAAATAGATTGCCCAACCTTCCTTCCGAGGAGTGGCTGGTGGGTTTGAACCGCCAGCCTTCTGGTTAGCAGTCAAGTGCCTTAGGCTCTATGCTAGTCTTCAGTATTGCACTAAAGGGTTCAGTTTTTTTCTTCAGTTCTTCCAGCTTGAGAAATACCAAACATGTCTTTCCTTTTTGGTTTTCTAACTCCATGTCTTTGCATATTTCACTATAGTTCCTTGTCTTTTCAAACTGCCCTTCAAAATCTATTCAGTTCTTTTACTTCATCATTTCCTCCATTCACTTTAGTACTCTGTGTTCAAGAGCAAGTTTCAGAGTCTCTTCTGACATCCATTTTGATCTTTTCTATCTTTCTTATCTTTTTAATGATATTTACTTCCTTCATGTATGATGTCCTTGATGTCATTTCATCTGGTCTTCGGTCATTAGTTACAGTACAGTGAATCATTTTGTATGGCCCTTCTAGCCATACAAATAGTCTTTCTGACTCCCATCAGATGTCCTGGGTGGGACTATGCAAATGTGAGGTGCTTATGGCCCACTGAGAGGATTGGATAGCTTGTTAATAATACAAATCTCAGTGCTGTTGAGTTGATTCAATTCATAGCAACCCCTCCTTGGGCTTCTGAGGCAGTATCACTACAGAAGTAGATTGCCCAGTCTTCCTTCCAAGGAGTAGCTGGTGGGTTTGAACTGCCAGCCTTCTGGTCAGCAGCCAAATGCCTTATGTACTACATCACCAGAGCTCCCAATAATACAAATAAGGTATATTTATTGAGGAAACTTAAGGTGAAAATTGGTCAGTTTTGCCATCACACTAGGCTTAAAATGAGCCAATCCAGAGGTGGGAAGAGGGAATCTAACTACCATCAGGAAAGAATATCCAAGGGTGGAGTGCATCCTTTGGACTTGAGATCCCTGTGCTGAACCTTCTCAGTCCAGGAGATAGACAACTGTGACATGAGGGACAGCAAGAAGCAGTGGCAAAGAAACAGTGGCAGCAGAGGCAGCAGAACCGAGAGACCAGCATGAGACAGAGCGGTGGGCTTCCCAGCCTATGGAGTGAGAAGCTGAGTGCCTTCAAATAGCAGGCTAGCTGGTGGAGTAAGCTGCCTCTGGATACTTATCCATAGAGCTAGGCTCACCGACCACAGAGCGAAAAAGCTGAGTGCCTTCTGACAGAGGCTTACTGACAGAGTGGGGTGCCTCTAGGCATTATCAGCAAAGCTGAAAGAACTTTGTAACATTTGCCCAATTAGGGCAGATGCCAGGACAAGAGGCCAACAGCCAGAGAGAAAGACTTGACTTTGGGCATGGCTGAGGGGAGGCTATCCTCATAGAAAACTGTATTGTGAACATTCCTGATCCTGAACTATAACCTGTTACTTCTCTAAAAAAACCCAGAACCATGACTATTGTCTATGAGTTTTGTGTGGCCATTGCAACAAATTATCAAACCCAGCATAGGAGTAGACAGTGCCATGGGAATGACGGTTGGTGTCAAAAATAGTAAAAAGGTTGGAGGGTGAAGGCATGTCTAAC